AAAAAAAAAAAAAAAAAGCATAGTTTTCCAAAATAAGGTAGTAAACTTCAGCTTCTCCTTGCTTCCTTAAAAGGGTACAAAGCAGTGGACATGGTCTGCCACCTTGTGCCCAAAGGGGAAAGCTCGGTTACCAGTCCTGGCAGCAGGCCCCACACTCGGTTACTTGTTTACACACCTGCTTCTCCCTCCAACCTCACCTGCCCCGATTTCTCTGCCTGTAGACATCTACCTTCACTTTGCAGCCAAATCAGCACATTTTAGCAACTCTTGCCCCAATTGGGCAAAAAAGTACTGACTGTTTTGCCTAATATTCAGCTCATTTGAAAAACAACCCTGAACGATGGTTACAGTTTACAAAACTCCACGAGGATCAAAAGAAGAGATGAGCCTGGCCCTTACAAAACTACAATTCAGTCAAGGAGCAAGGCGTACAAAAATAGAGGGCAGAATGTAGTGAGTTCAATAACGTGAATAACAGATAAATATGGTGCAAATGAAGTGATCAAGCAGCTTTGAAGGAGGGAGGTGAGGTGATCCATTCACTTCCTCCAAGCATTACACATTTAGAGAGGCTGCCGACAATGTCTCAACAGACAAATAACAGCTTGCCAGTTGGTGACTTTAAATCATAGCAGTTCTGCCTTAGAGCTCAAGAAAGAGCAGCCACCAGCGGTGAGGCAGTGGAGGCAGGTGAGGTGAGGGTCAGCAGAGGAAGAAGGGAGAAGCCCCACCACAGGAAGTCACTCACAGGCTACTGGGGTCCTGCTCGGGCTTCAGCAAGACAGCACGAGTGTCCAGGACACCGCAATGCTTTGACAGAAAGCCACCTTTCAAAAACAACTTCTAGCAATGTAGACTCTCCTAGTTAAGATATTAATTCTTAGAACCGTAGGATATGCGCTGCCGAAGCGAGCACAGTTCTTAGAACCACAGTATTAAAATACAGTGTTAGGCTGGAGATTTGGCTCAGTGGTTCTGCTGCCTGCCTCTCGGGCACGAGGGCCTGAGTTTGATCCCCGGTACCAAAAAATAAAAAATAAAAAAAAATACCGTGTTAGATGGCTCAGAGGAAAAGAAGGAGAAACAGATGAGTTTGAGGGAAGGTAGCAAAGAGGGGAATTGGAGGCAGAGAGACAAGGGATCGGGGATAAAGAAAGTCCAGAAAGAAAGGTGAACAAATATCCAGCACCATCTCAAAGCCAGACACTCAGATAAGAAAAAATATCAACCATGAGCGAGCTCACAACTCACAATATCTGTAAGAAAGTTTAGATGCAATAGAAGGTTTGGACACTGGGTAATAAGGACCAGAGAACTGCAAGCCAGCACTGGGACATTAAATTGACAGCACTACACATTCATGGGGTCGTTTTGTGTAGCATGCGTGTCTGAGTTTAGAAGTGTGGCTGCTGTGATATGTACATTTTAAGTAGACTGTTAGGATTGTTAGGCTAATGGGTTAATGATACAATTTAAACAATTTTAATTTTAGCTATTTTAATGTAATAAGTTAGCGAGCCTTAGGAAGACAGCCAAGCTGTTTCTATGAAGAGAGCAAGCTGTGCTGGGTTTTCAGCAAAGAGGTGATTCTGATGGAGGTGGTCTGGCGCACATCCTACAAACACTGTTGGGTGAGTGCCTGGAGTAATATTTATGCTGGAAGGCCATGAATGGGGTCCAAGGTTTTAATTTGCAACAGATTTTTCACATGATTTTAATATAAGCCCAAATTTGAAGTCACTGGCACGAGCATCTTTCCCAGTGACCTTCACATCATTCTTCCTGGGTCTTCTGTAGGTCCAGTCTACAATAAAGAGAGACCTTGTCTGTGGGATAGCTTCCTATCAACAGATAATGGAAATATGAATGAAAATCTACAAGATATCATACAAAAATGGACCTGGCAGGCTCTTGTAAAACAGGAACCGTTCAATGGTGTATGTGGCTTCCCCAATTCAGTACCCTGGAAAGCAGTCTGGTGAAGCCAGAGGTGTGGCGTGGAGGTAGGTGGTCACACCACCAGTCGGTCATTTGGACGGGATATGACGCCTCTGTTCAAGGTTCCATGCCTTGCAGAACAGAAAGCAGGACTCAGAGACAGAAGGAACTGAAAGAGCAGAAGTTGGCAGGGCAAAGGAGCAAGAGTCAGAAGTTGCTGCATGGAGGTGGAGTTTGCTACCTTCCGTCGCACGGGGACTGGAGTTCTCCAAGAGGCTCCCTGGGAATTTAGGGGGAGGAGTTTGAGTGACGATCCATGAATTCCCTCAGAACCCACCCCTGTCCCGATTCAGTCGGGGAGT